GCACCCGATGTCGATCGGTTTGCACGGAGGCTGCGATTGCCCCGGGAAATCGCTCGTTCGATGGGGAAAGAATACGTACAGTAAAAGAAGAAGGGAGGCGCCAGCGGTAGCATGTTTTCGTTTATACATCCCGCTGTATACAGAAGATAATGCGGCCCTTTCCCGGTGCCACTGCGCGACGGCCGATGGAGCATGGAAGTACTGAGATTGGCTTGATTACTGCTTGGGGGTTGGACTGAGATACTGCCAGGACGCCCACACATGACGGGAGAACGATGTGGGTCCTTAACCAAAGCTTTCGACAAAATGAACACCCGATAGGCAGCGCGCCATGAGTCATCATCATCATCATTATACACATCAGCTAGAGGTGGGAAAACACCTCCACTATTGTGCCGCAATACATGAAGGAAATGGTTGGCGGCATCCGGTTTCGGACTTGCCTGTCACTGTGGTCAGCCACAGGACGCCTGCGCCTACAGAGGGACCATGGATGGATTGCGCTGCACCACCCACCCCATATCCAGTGTAAACCCGAAGGAATAAGACCGGGAGGAATGCGGATGGGAGCCACGTTTCATCAACGGAGCCGGCCCACACTCCTTCACAGACAAACACAAGCATGTTGTATTTGGGGAATCAAGTACACACAAGGCGGTGGCTGGACCGTAGTCCGCTCCACACTGAATGCATGGAACCACTCTTCGAGCCTTGCACGACTACAAGGACCGTGCACCCCGTCCCCTCCAGCAACGACCAACTGTCTCCTGGAGCCAGTATGGACGAGGTAGTGGGTAATAGACAGGTAGGCACCTTGTCAACATGCACACCAAGCGCAGCCACACCTGGGATGTCAAACAACAGCCAATCATTCAAAATGCCCATATCGATTAAAGTCAACGCATATGACGATATGAATACTCGCTAAATGAGCATATAGAAGGAATTGGTTATAAGTGAATCCGTGATAAGCACAAAATGTCCGAAAGTTATTTTTTAAAATACCACGCGATAAAATTACGCAAGTTTACCACAATTTGCGTGAGCGACGTGTGCAAGTAAGGAGAAGATGATCAAGTACGCAGAACAAACCAAATAACATGTAATGAATTTTATCCACATTCAAAAGACCTAGTTTAAGTGTAAGTTGGTTTAGCCCAACTGAGGTGAAAAAGCATCATAAATGCAACATCAGCCTCAGCAAGGGGCAATGAAGGAAATACATACACACATACATATAATACAATACATCAAGGAAAAATAGATACAACAGCTGCATGCCAGCTGAGCTACCAGCAAAGGATAGGCATCGTTCCGGTAAGCTTCCAGCCAGCTACTAGGCAAAAAGAAAATTTTTTAATTATGTTTTACCCTAGGAAATGAGATTGTAGATGGAAGGGGAGGCTAAAAGGGATGGGGAGGGACAAAGAAACTCAAAGCACAAACGCCACTGAGGTCGGCTCCTTGCTATGTCAGCAAGTGTATCCAGCCAAACGTGTTCACGGTCTTTTAGACCTCAACCAGGGAGCCGTGACGCTCCAACCGAGACTAGCTCCGAAGTGAGGGACTTCATTCCCCTGGACCAAGTCATCGCTTGGCCACCTCTCCTCTTCTTCCACCCACATCCCCGGTGAGCAAACAACGCACGTCGAGGGAGTCGGTGGGCTGGCATGCGTAACACGTGGCCGAGCCATCGGAGCCTGATGCGGGAAATAACGGTGCTGAGCGGTTCAGATCCTTTTCCTGGGCCGTAAACAATGCGTCGAACACGCTCGTTACTCACGCGGTGTTCCCACCAGATGTGAGCCAAACTGCGAAGGCACCGATCGTCCAACGTAACTAGCCTCTTCATGTCCGCCGACCTTAGGGGCCAGGTTTCGCAACCATACAGTAAGGTCGAACGTACCGCTGCATTGTACACTCTACCCTTCAGGGCGAGAGTGATGTCGCGCCGCCGCCATAGGTGGCGAAGGTTAGCAAAAGCACTTCGAGCTTTCGCTATACGGTTCGTGATCTCGTCTTCGATCCCAAGGGCAATGATACAACTTCCCAGGTAATTGAATTTCTGAACGACTTCCAGCTGATCCCCACCAAGGGTCAGCGCAGGAGGCGATCCCTGCCAATCTTGGAGGAGTGCTTTGCATTTCAATGGTGCAAAGCAAAGCCCGAAGCGGCTGACAGCCAGTTCTAATCTGTCCAGCGCGGCTTGGCACGTCTGGGAACTGTCACAGATGAAAGCAATGTCGTCTGCATACTCCAAGTCAAGAAAGTCGTTCTCCTGGGATTAGCTCCACACCTTCCAAGTCATATCCTGTAAATGCAAACTCCATGACTTCGTCAATAGCGAAATTGAAGACGAAAGGTGACAGCAGGCATTCTTGTCTCACACCGCTGGAGGTATTAAAGGGTGACGACAGCTTGCCATAAGCCCTCACTCTGCCCGTGCTACGCGCATATAATGCTTGAATAATATTTACATATTTCTCGGGCACACCTTTCCTGAGTAAACAATTTTAAAGGGCACATCAATCAACCGAATCGAAGGCACCTTTGATGTCGAGGAACACGACAACGGTGGGCCGCCAATATGTGTGGCGGTGCTCCAACAACTGATGCAAGGTGAAGATGTGGTCGATGCAGCCACGACCCCAACGAAACCCGGCTTGCTCCTCACGAATCTGGCATTCACGAGCGCCAGTCGGTCTGTGAAGAATTATGGAGGCGATGGAGATCAGACTGATTCCTTTATGGTTGCCGCATTCCGAGCGCGAGCCGCCTTTGAAGATGGGAACAATAACGGAGCAGCTCCAGTCGGTTGGGACAGTCTCCTGCTCCCACAGTTTCACTAGTAATTCATGTAAAGCATCAACAAGAGCAGAGCCTCCGAAGTTGAAAAGGGCTGGAGGAAGATCATCTGGTCCCGCGGCTTTGTTCAACTTCAACAGTCCGATCTCACGTTCGATTCCTGAGCGAGAGGGTGGATCCAAAGAGACAGTCCACGGAGCAGGGCGATCACTCGCCGGCGAATAATCGAACAATTCTAGCCGATTAAATTGCTTATCAAAATGTTCAGCCCAACACTCCAAACATTTTGACAAATTGTGAATAGGCTGTCCACTCTCATCACAAATTGTTTCACTAACACCAGGTCTCCTGCTGCCCGTTTCCCGTATCCGACGGAATAACTTACGATGTTTGCCAAGGGTAGCGGCCACTTCCATCTCTGATGCACGATGAGACCACCAAGATTGGCGGTCTCTCTTCAGGCTAGCACGGAGTTTTGCCCGGAGCTCTTTGCGAGTTTCACTGTGCTCGCTTCCAGCCGGGATATGCCGGCGAGCGTCGATAAGTTTCAGAGACCGAGAAGAGACCCAATGTCCATGTTGGCTTTTTGACATACCACATGAGGGTTTGCCCGCTGCTAGTAAGGTCTGGCGAACATGTGACCAGTGACCATCAATTGTCTCCAGTGAGCGATTACTCAACTCGCATGTCAGCGTACTTCGATACGCATTCAGAACAGCTGGCTTTGTCAGTTGGCTGGTGTCAATGCGCTCACAGCGTCGTCGTGGGCGTCCGCCAAAACGCATCCGCATGTCAGCACATACAAGTGCATGATCGGTGTCCACACGTGTGCTCCAAATCGAGCGACAGTTCTGGATGCAGCCTCTCCAGCGGTAACTGATAGCAATGTGATCTATCTGCATCCAAGGCTGGTGGGCGCCAAGTCACCCTCCGGCGGGTGTTGTGTCGGAAATTAGTGCTCGCGAGAAATAAGCGAGCATCTTCACACAAATGAAAGCGCCATGAGTCAGTGAACTGACTTACGTGGAATTTGGTGTCCTGGCTCTTAGCTAGAAGAGTGCAACCCTACACCAACCCAGCGGTTGCCACAAGCCGTCCAGGACATGAACCCAGGGCACAACATTAGCAGCAGCGGGTAAACGATGTGTCAGGACCTCGGCACCACAAGGCTCAGCGGGCCATGGCCCTACCGCTAGCTTATACATACACATGCATGTTTGTTGTACAAACACTAGGAATTCATTCCAGGTGGTCAGTTGACATACCCGAATAGCTACAATGACCACAGCATACAGATTATGGCTGCCGGACAACTAACACAATATCGTTGAACACTTTTGCAGCCTTTTTACATTCCATCGTTAACTCTTTGTGTGAGCTAAAATATAACAATGGGAATGCAAAATTCCATTTCTTCGCGGGCATCTTATAACGACAATGCACGATTCCTGAATGCACCATTAGTCTAGCAACGGGTTATTGGCTATGGGAAATCCGCTCGAAACGATCGATCGGTTGGCATGGAAGAACATCAAGGGCCAAATAACCGGAAAGAACACTATCTGACAGGCATTTCATGGTCAAAACCATCAAGCTATGCAGACGGCAGGATATCAGTCAACCGATCAAGTGTAGATTGCAAAGTGTAGCTGATGACACTTTATGGACCACACAAGTGTTGAAAATAGCAACAGATTGTCATTTCCAACCACCGATGTGTGTGTGTGTGTGGTTCACAGAGTATCGGTTCACAATTGGTGTTTGGCAATAGACATTTTGTTTCAACAGAGCCCTTTTGAGATTGAAAATTCTGCGTTGGTTATGTCCTTTAGATGATTGTTGTGTGTATTGAGTCCGAAAGCTAGCTCGCTTGGGTGAAGTAGTGTAGCAGCCAACCGATAAGACGGGAAAATGCAAGAAGTTAACGGGACGTTAAGCTGATAGGTGTCATCCTCCCGGATGGGACTAGTGATACGAAACATTAGTGAGTAGAGAACTTATCTGATGCGGCACAGTAGTAGTCAATGCACCAGAAGTTTTACTGCTAATCGTCAAAACCGACGAGCATAATTCACTGTTTTTACGACTGCTACAGTTCGGTGCTGGAATCGTAGTGGGAAAACTGAAACGAACTCGAACTTGATATGCACCATGGAAACGCGTGCGGGCCGAGTCTGAAAACGTGGAAATAGTTTCAGAAACTTTGGAAACATGGTGTCCATCAAGTTAAATCGCGTAAAGCGGATCAGAGAAGATTTAAGGCGAAAAATGTAAATGAGCATTAAAAAGCAAATGGCGGAAACAAGCAACCACCGGTACGAAGGAAGATAGTGCTTCGGAATGGGTGAAAGTCTTATAATATTGTTTGAGTCCACGCAGCAGACGCATGGGGTGAAGGGTGTCTAGGTAAAAGATAAAGTAGTACGGCGTTAACCACTAAAAAATAGAAAAGCAATACCAGTGTCATCACTGTTCTTATTACGGATAAAACCTCACAAGAAATAAAAGGCAATTGATAAAACTTTCAGATGTCGTAGCAAAATTGAGATGAATCATTGAAATAAGCAATTAGGCGGATGTAAGTACCAAAGTGAAAAAGTATATACACGACAACAACTATGACGCGAAAGAGGATGCTGATTTCTGTATTGTCAGAGGCGCTATATACAAAGTTGTCGACATCAGACATGGCGGTCTGAACATCAATGGTGTGCAAAAAAGATGGGGCAGAGTAATGTAGGAAATCAATCCACAGCTGCTAGCGCTCGGCGTTCGTTGGCGTCAGGTGATGAAGCACAAGAGTTGGGTAAGCCAGCGAAGTGATAATAAACACTAGTTTTTTCGGTGAGCGTGAAATCTCGAAAGCCCGCATCAAGAAAACTATCGACAAGTACCTGTTGGAAACAGAACGAAGAGGATGCTGATAAGCGAAGAATCGAACGCACGGCAACCACACGCGGATGCCGGAGAAAAGAACAGAGAATGACAGAAATGCTTTGCGAGGACAGTGGTTTGACCCAATGCATCAAGCAAATCCAATGAGCAATTGGATCAACGAGATTCTATCACGAAATTGATAGCAGCAGATGGCAGGTGGGTAAGCGATGGAGTTTACCAAACTGAGAGTGCATGTAAAGGGACGGTTCGATATCAAGTAATTGATAGATGAACAGAAGAAAAGCGATTCGGAACAACGTTGCGCCCAAATTCACAGCAAGATGCGCACCATCACGTGAGTACATAAACCAAGGAGCGAAGTGTAGCGATCGTACAACTAAACCCGATTTGCATGCCAAGGATCAGGAAAAACGAACGTGGCCGTGGCACCCAAAGATGCATTCGTAACAAAAAGAGAAAAAACAAACATATTAGGTGGCATTCTCAGGATCAGTAGTGACATTTTTAGTCTGTGATAGTGCTTGAAAGAAGCCTAAAAAGTCACAGCTCGGGTTGGGTGCTGAGACGTTGATCTGTTCGCCGATTTTGCTCGAAGTTCCTTGACTACCAGCAGAGCTACAACAACAGCAGCAGCAGCAACAACAACAACTACTACTACTACTGTTTCATCACCACCACCACCGGAGCAGTAGGTGCAAATGTACAGTTGTTAAAGCGAACGCGTTCCTCTTATGCGGAAAATATGACGATTTAATCAAGTATATTACTGCTTGTTAATAAGGAAAGGCTTAACAGTACAGAAGTAGATAGTCAAAGGGTAAGCAGAAAGTCACTCGTAAGTTGAACTACTCAAATTGATGTAGCGCATAAGCACCGTTCTTAGGGAGAGCTGCATCAGGGAAGTGCCAGCCCCGAAGTCTGCCATCTTCGTTAACACAAGCTGAAATGCAGTTCAAAGTAGCAATCTCTAAAGTGCGCACATTATAGTAGATCGGACAGAAAGGTGGACTTGCACGCAGAATGAGGACCCTAGTAATCGATGTCTGCCACCTGAGTGAAACACGGCTCCAGAATTCCAACACAGTCTACCAGCTGTCGTCCCCACTCGAACCATACACCAGTTTCTATCTTCGCCTTTCTGGTGACGCTGAGTCTGCCGCAGTAAGGCAAGCTGGTGTTGGGATCATCCTCAGTACCAGAACCGAGGCCGCCCTCCTTGATTGGATACCAATCAAAAGTCGCCTTTGCGCTATGAGGTTCTGTGGCTGTTGCAAGATTAGCAGACATCAAGCAGACAAGCATGCTCTTTTCATGATCTCTGCCTACGCGCCCACTGACTGCAGCTCGGATACAGTCAAGCACCAATGCTGTCAACATTTTAATGAGATGCTCCCAAGGGCACCTAAACAGACATCATCATTATAGCAGGAGACTTCAAATCACATATCGGTCAGCTGCTGCCATGTGAACGACATCTCGGCGGACCGCAAGGATATGATGATATTCCTCCTGATAACAGAGACTGCTCAGTCTATGTGCTGACCACCAACTTTTCCTCTCCACTATGAGCTTTAATTACCCTGGACGCCACTGTGCAACTTGGTGTCCCTCGTCGTCAAACCAGCATTGGTCACAAATTGATCACACAGCTCTAAGTCGCAGGTGTCGTGGCAGCGTACGCGATTGGAGATCATTTTGGTCCACTTGCCTTGAGACCAATCACGCACTGGTGTGTGCGACAGTTTGTATGCTTCGGAGGCTCACCTAGAGCCAAACAAATCCCACTGAACATTTAAAAGTTGGAAGACCCAGCGGGGAAAACGCAGTATCAACAGAGGCTTTGTTCAAATCTCGCTCTCTCCACTACTCTAATCGTCGATCTACACTGGTCACATATGCAACAAGCTGTGCTATCCGCCGGCTTCTCCAGCGGCGGCCTCACCCAGTGCAGAGCTAAAAGCTGGATCGCGGATAGATCCTCGAAACTGCTAAATAAAAGGGACTACACAATTCGGACAACCAGTGATTCGAAACGTTGGATGTTATAGCGCGCAAAAGGTGTCAGTGGCGACAGTGTTTTTCGAGTGCGTTACCTGTTACTCATTTTCTAATCGAACGTAAAAACTACAACAAAAACTCAAAATGGCACGTGACAAGCCAAAAAGCGTTTTCTTCTGCCATTATAGTTTACTTGCCGCTTTTTGCTACGGTTCTGATGGCACGCTACTAAGAGCTTATAGTTTCTCAAAAGAGGAGGGAGCAGTAATGACTGTATCACGTCCATTTCAATCTCCACCTCTACGTCAACGGGTGATCCTGTAGTCATAAGTGAACTTTTCAACGAGCATCTTCGTTCGTTCTTCAACAGCCATACAAATGGCCAACACACCATACCGTAAAAACGGCTTACAGACGGCACGTTGTGGACAGTAGAATTGCGTATAGCAGAAATTAGAAAATCACTCAGCGCCATGAAATTGTCCTTTAATGGTGATGCCGATGGCATGCCATCAGCTTTACTGAAATACGGAGGTCCGGTTATCCCTATCCTTTTGCAGAACAGATTTGCATTGTCAATGAAGACCAACACTGTTCCGCATCACGGGGAACACGCTGATGTCGTACCAAGGTATAAAAAGCCTCAAAACGGGATGTTGCAAATTACCGTATGATTAGCCATACTTCTTGAAGTTATAGGCAGGATTATAAAGGCTACGACTTCCCAGTTTCTAATATCAAGGAACCTAATCAGTGAGTCACAACATGGCTTTAGCAAACAGCGTTCTTGTCAGACTTGTCAACAAGACTTCTTAAACCACATCACAACCTCAGTCGACGGTGATAATGCCTATATTATCGTATTCCTTGACATGTAAAAGGCCTTTGACCAAGTGTCCCATGGTAAGCTTTTGACCACTCTAGCAGGGCATGGCATTGCTGACCCACTACTTCCTTGCTTCTCATCATACCTTACCGACAGTATCCAAGCAGTCAAGATAGGTAATCATACATCAGATGACACCTGTAACGCGCTTATCTACCCATGAAATTCTTCTACTCTTCGCTTCGTGGTCTAGTCTATAGACCTGGGCCGATCGTTGATGGATATCGACCAGCTTTCATGTGTGTCTGTGTGTGCATGCTAAACACCGGCACCGGTTCCGTGCGTGTGCGTCTACCGACGACCTTGGATCTCTAACCCTACTCCTCGCCGAACAGGACACGTTCAGCCCGGACATGTTTCGCACCCCTCCCCCATTCACTGGTCGCTTGTCCAAACACCATGTTTATGCATGCCATTAAACTCTCACCCTGTGATTGGAGTATCCCTTGATTGGTCAACACCATTAGTCTTAATATTCGTAGCACTCAGGTGTGGTGATTTGCTCCCTTGATTGTCCGGCGTAAACAGCTCGTCCCTCCTATTGTTTACTGACACCTTGTGTCAACTTGCATACACCGGGATACTGAACAATTGAAGTATGTCCCAATTATCAACTGTATATATTTTAATAGTACCGTAGTATTTGTGATCCAACTTGTTTTGATTTCGGGATCTTTGGCTACGCGTCATTCAACGTTCACGGTGGACGTTACAACAGCCCTGTGACAAGTGACGTCATTCAAGGCAGTATGCTGGAACCAGTTCTATGCCAGATGTAAGTAAATGAAATTTTCGACATTGATTATGATAGTGTTATAACGCTGTACCCGCAATCGACCGGTTGATTCACGCCTGCAGGTTAATCTGCGCCCTTACGCCTGCTCTGTTCGACGCCTTGACAAACCCAGCGGGATGCAAGACAGAAGAAAACTCAGCAGACCAGAGTTGTACTAGGACCGAGAACGCTCATATTTATATGTCGGTCTTACCAATCCTCTAAACATCACCTGGCCGATTTGGCTGCAAGCCCACCGTCCACACTTGCTTGTCCGCTCCGTCTGTCCAGTTCACCGTTTTGTTCGGGCACGCCAGTCTTCGTCCACCTACCCGGTGCATGGCAACGCACGTGATGTCTGACGCGCGATTTCATCAGCTTTCGGCTTGGCCCTGGCAACACGCTCGCAGGGTCTTTCCCAAGCACGATTTGTAGCAAACACGCGCGCGTTGGCAATCAGGTTTCTCGCCCAGCTGTCACCATCCTTTCCGAATTGAGTCAGCTTGCAGTTCCTTCGAACCTGATTGTGTTCGTAGCTTTTCGCCCGGGGATCGATTTGCAGCCGTTGTGGTCGTCTCCGCTTCCGAGCCGGCCTGCACTGTGCAACTGATTTCTGCGGCATTTGTTTTGTCTCACCGGGTTGCTGACGCTCAACTTCCAGCCCGAATGTGTCTAGTAGAATGTCCCAATGTAAAACTGATGGTTCCTGGGGGCCTTGGGTTTTGCCATGGTTCTGTCTCAACTGATTGATGTGCCTAATCCACCTCTCACGTCCAACCATCACTGTCTTTCCTGCCGATAACAGTTCCGCTCGACCACCCCTTCGGCCTTCGAAAATCCCGGAGGTAAACCATGTCACCAACATTGAAGTTACGGAGCCTGACTTTGCGATCTTCCTTTCCCCATTCTCCATTCAATTCACGGCTTCGTCAATTACTTTGTTACATACGGAAGTGAAGATCAAGCAGTCGAGACCGAGTAGGTTCCGGTCTGGGAGCCTTGTTGCGTAGCAAATCCCTTCGAACTGGCAGTCTTTGAACATTACAGGGCAATAAACTTCACAGACCAAGTTCAGCGATCCTCCTACAGCACTGGTTGCAATCCGAGTTGTTCTATGAACAGGGGTTTATCGATTTCCATCCAATTTCTCTAGGAGATGACCGTGATATCTGAGGTAGTGTCTACTTGAAGGCGCAGGGGCACTTGGTTCACAACCACTGTAATGAACCCTTTTCTTTTTCGGCCCCTGTATCGAAGGTAGCAAAAACAGGATAAAGCTGAAATCCATGTGTTGTTGGGAATATTTGCTGGAGACGTTATTGTTGAAAGCAGCTGCA